TTCTTCGATATGCCCGAAGCCCTAAGTCTTCATTTAACCCCATCTGTAGGGCCAACAGTTTCTGCTTACGTTTGGGATTTCTTTGAATTCGCGCCTTCACAGCTTTTATAACTGCTGGAGTCCTAACAGACCGAGGGCGACCACTTCTTGACCTGTCATCTACACTAGAGTCTTCATTGTATCGTTTGATGGTACGATAAACGAATCTTTTGGTTATATTCAAATTTTTCAGTATGTCAAAAATTTGAATAGGCGCGTAACCGCAACGATGCAACGCAATAACTGCAACACGGTCTTCTTTAAGCGTCCACTCCATATTTAAAAATGAGTAAAATTCTAGAAAGTATACAGTTTTATTTTCATGAAAAATTCGAAATTCGGATTCAATAAACTTTTTTGTGGCCAGAATTCTAAAAAGAAAAGTTTTTACTGTGTGACAATACTTATGACCTGACTAGGTATTAGTAATTGAAATAAATACCTTATCAATTTTCATATTTATGATAAACATCACTATTATCTCTTGAAATTATTACACTTTTAAAATAAAATAACAAAAATACTAAAAAAACAAAATGTTAGAGTTTATTTAATTATTTTAAAAATCTAATCATTTAATTATATAAATGTAAGTTATTTATATTATTTCATTTATTAGTAACTGAAGGCAAAATATACTACCTTTTCCATTTGATGATAGATGGCGCTGTTTGGAATACCAAATCGGTGTAGTTTCAAATTATTTTACCAATATTATAACTATATTTTAAACTTTATTTACAAATATGGTATTTATTTGAAAAATACCCGTCATCCCGCCTATAACTAAGACATAATAGAAAATTAACATCTAAAGGAAATAAAATACTTAACCTTCCTTTTTTAAAGTTCCGTAATCGGATAAAAAGTAGCCTATAAGTTGCCCCAGGTTACTCACTACCTATATACAAAATTTCATGTAAATCGGTTTAGTAGTTTTTGCGTGAATCCGGAATACACTGACAAACAGACAGAAAAACAGACAGACAGACAAAAATTCTAAAAACCACTAATTTGGCTTCATAACCCTTTATTTAGTCCCCTAGACTTGCTTTTCCAAGAATATATTAGAATTACAGACAAGACTTTTCTACAGATTTATTATATGTATAGATACACAAAACAATGCCTCAATGGTTTGCTCTTTAATTTTTTTGCTCATTTTTTAAGCTTTTTTTTAAATTTTTCTACTTTTATGAATATCTGTAGTTTGGTTTACTTATTTTTAATCTTATTAATATAAAATATAGCTTGTAATACAGAAATAAACATTAACTTTTATATTTTCCAAACAAATTAACTTCACCGCTACGAAGTCTGTCAAATATTATATCCCTGGTGGCAGAAAAAGTCGTGGATGCCCTCAGTGACAGGCCGGTTTCGTAATATTGTATAGCTATTAGATAGTATATTTGATTAGTAACTCTTTTATCCTCTTATTTAATGTTTGCGCGCGATATATAGTGCAATTGAACATTGATTTTATCTGTTTATCAAATATTGCTGAACCATTTAACACGCATTGCATTCGTGATGATACCACTCTTTGAGAGCAAAATAAATAGAAATAGTAAATGCATTTCATCAGATTTTTTTTAATATACTTCCTGCATTTTTATAGTGGCATTTGGAAACGTGGTAGAGCCATGCTGCAGCTATATCATTGGTATAGTTGTAGCACGAATGGGTCGGCTCGACCGGGGAAGGACCACGCTCTCATAGAATACCAGCGTAAAATAGCAACTTAATGCTGCTGTGTTTCGTATGTGATGAGTGTAGAGAACCGGAGACCCCTTTTACTGGAAAAGAGGCATTCCATCTTAGTCCTCACGGGTGACAACGCATCTGCATTTCAATTCGCAAACGAAGATAGATGTAGATGTCTATGGGCCACAGCGACCACTTACCATCAGGTGGACTGTGTGCTCGTTTGTCACCCTCATTCTATAAAAAAAAAGTTCAAATAACAAGGAGGTTTTACATTTGACGCGTATGTTTTGTTTGTTCACCGATTTCTCAGAAACGCCTAAACCGATTTAAATGACCCTTCTTTTATTAAATAGTTTATACTTTAAATACTTTATAAGTTAAGGATGATCCCAAATGTAATAAATAATACATTTCAGTGATAATTTCACTAGAATTAAAATTTCAATGCAACAGTTTAGACGACATTTTAGTTGTTACATAAACGTTGTAATTTCCTTAGTCCACTCAAAATTGAAAAGGGAACAAACTTTTCATAAAAAGTAAAAATCGAAATATAAAAACTAAAAACAATGAAATAATTTCTTAATAATAGCTTCTGAAGTCGGTGCTAGCATATGGCTTATAACTTTTGTAATTTTTTAATAAAACTGCCTTAATTTTTTTTTCCTTAAACATTAATAATTTCCTCTATATAAAAATGTTTGTGGATTATGTGATTTTTAAATATTTTCACACTGTCACTATGTCTCACCCTTATCACAGAAATAATCACACACATCGAAAAATTGTTGTGTAGATTGTGACACATTTTTATAATTTAAATTTCTAGCGGAATCAATTTAATTCGAGAATATACTAATTTAGGTGATAGCACTTAATACAAAATTTTCAAGTATTGCTACACTTAAAAATCGGTAAAATCGATTTTACCGATTTTTTGTTCCGTAAGGTGGCGTCATAAGAGAAACCGTATTCCCATTTCGTGTTGTGGGTGCTTTGACCATATAACCAACGCTCCCAGTGTCGGTGTCGTAAGAAGCGACTATAGAAAATGCATGTAAGATTTAATGGCTTATGATACATAGCGAAGTTAGCGAAGTGTAGCACTAGAAGGAGTGACGATCTGGTAACATATGCAGGGAGTCGATGGATGCAGGTGGCTCAGGACCGTGCTTTGTGGGATTCCTTGGGAAAGGCCTATGTTCAGCAGTGGACTTGTGAAGGGTTTTAATGATGATGATAACGATTAAAGATGATCACCAAACCAGTGTTCCCCAGGCGTAAAATAACTAGACAGCCAACGAAGAATAGCACCAAGTGCTAGAGACATCAGGTACGACAATCGTCAACCCGCTTGCCAAGTGTTACGATTAAGGCTTATTCATATAACGGATGAGACTCGATTGCAGCAGTGGACTAGCAGATGAAGCGGATGACTGATTTTTTATTACCTTTCCGTCCGAGAGCCCTATTTTTACCCGAATGCGCCAGAAATTGGGTAAAGATTTTCGAAATGTATGTATGTTTTTTATTTTCTTATAATTTATTTAAAAAAAAACCGTTCTGTATTTATTTATTTTATTCTTTATTGCACTAAATATTTGTACAAAAGGCGAGCTTAGTGCTATATGGCATTCTCTACCAGCTAACTTTGGGTAGAACAGAGCGTGAGTTTGGGCAGTTAACTTGTTACGATCAAATTCAATTAAAATATATAGATGCAAAACATACATTAAATATATACATATAAATAAAATATATATATGATTGATATATATATATATATATAAATAACTATAAACATATAAAATAATTAGACTCAACTTTATAGGCTACGGATATGCACGTATAATTTTTCTTTTAAAACATTTTTGACAGGTATTTTTCGCAGGTCAATAGGCAATTTGTTCCAGAGGGAGATGGAAGTAACTGTGAAGGAATTTGACGTAAACCCAGAATGGTGAAGAGGAGTAGACAGTAATAAACTGTGTGAAGAACGGAGATTGAGAGAATGTTGTTGTGAGAATGTCACTACGGAATTGAAATCTTTCTTTTAGATAAAGGGGTGAGGAAGAATCATTAACAAGTGAAAACAGAGTGGACAGGATTCGGAAATCTCTACGCTGGCGTATAGTCAACCACTTTAACTGAGAGCGAAATTCTGAAACGTGATCATATTTCTGCAGGCCAAAGAACGATTTTCTTCCTGTATCGTCTAGGCAGTTTACAAACATAAATTCCACGAGGACAAATATCCAGATTCCAGACCCGGAATAATTATTTGTAGGCCATACAAATACTTGTTCCGTGTGGGATTCGAACTCGTGGCAAGCACTGTTGTAACTGTTTACACTTTGCTAAGCCACTGCACTACGGAGCCGTCGATGTATGTACATATATGTATATCAATGGCTAGATGGATTTTAACATATGAGGTGTCGTTAGGTAGCCCTTAATTGTAGAAGTAACATAGATTATATAATATTTATATATTGCATCTGCAAATATAATAAAGGATGGTAAGGTTTTTTTCACTAAACGTCTTCACGCAGTCCGGTTTTTTTTAAATATTGTTTTAACCATTAAGGTTATTAATATCTGTAACGTTTTTTAATTTAAATTTATTTTCATGTGTGCCTTTTTTATAGGATAAGTGTGAAAAGCGAGCTCACAGTCCACCTGATGTTAAGTGATTGCTGTGGCCCATAGACATCTACATCTATCCTCGTTTGCGAAACAAAATGCAGAACTAAGAACTAAGATGCATTCCATCTTAGTTCTGTTCTTAGCATTTTCCAGTAAAAAGGGTCTCCGGTTCATTACACTCACCATACGAAATACAGCAGCATTAAGCTACTATTTTACGCTGGTATTCTGTGAGAGCGTGGTCATTCCCCGTTCGAGCCGACCCATTCATGCTACAACTATACCACTAATATAGCTGCAGCATGACTCTACCACGCATAAAAATTATTTTGTAATTTATATTTCACAGTTCGCGCTTACAATTTGCAGACATGAAGGAGCGCATACATACTTTACTGAAGTTGAGCTAATATACTCATTATCTATATCACTGCAACTGATTTAAGTAGTTGGCGAGATATGCACAAATGAAATCTCTCACAGATCGAACTTCGATATACGATTCAAATTGGTTTTGTTCTTCATTGGAGTTGTACTTCCATTATTAAATTGGGATTAATAATGTGTAATTTTTAAAAGAAAAAAATATTTTTTTTTAACACTAAATGGAACGTCCAGAGTACGAATACGATAAAATACAAAAAATACCAAAAATTATGGACGCGTCTATTAAATTTCAATTATTAATTGTGGCTTGCAGTAAGTTTCATTTTTTTTAATATTAATGGTAAACTTTGTGAATGCATAAGTGAGAATATTTTATTATTATTTCAATCCGAGAAATAGTTAAAGCGCAAATTGAGAAAGAAATGTTTTTGTCATTTTAATTTTTATTCCAACTTAGCAAAATTTTTTTTAATTTATATTTTTTTATAAAGCTTCCATTAATTACATTTTTAAAGTATATAGTTTTTGTTGTTTATTTTTAAAGGTATCAAGAGATGACATAAAGTGGATGCTATATATAGACACCAACATCTATCCTCAATTAGGAATCATAATGTTAATGTAGTTACGAATATAGATTGCCTTGTTACCAGTTAAAAAGGTATCCAGTTTGCTACACTCACCATACGAGGCACTAAGATGCTATTTTTTACGCTAACATTATGTGAGAACCGGATTCCGGTCGAGCCGACGCATTCGTGCTGCAACCAAACAGCTACAGCGTGGCTCTATCGCGTTTGATTAGTATGCAATTAAATTAATTTTCTCATTTTCAGTCAACATTGGTCAAATCATAGTAGGGTATAGTGTAGGATGGTCAGCTCCAATCATTCCTAAACTGCAGGACAATTCGACGAGTCCTCTACCTGAGCCCATAACTGATCTTCAGGCGTCATGGATAGGTTCGCTGTTGTATATAGGTGCCATGATAGGTAAGTGAATAATGTTAAAATAAACATGTCTAATTTATATTTTAATGAAATGTTTTTTCTTTCCTTTTTTTAGAGGATTTTGTTTCAAACGTATATGTCAGCCCATCATATTCTAATTTTACTGACATACAGTTGAAAAAAAATCTTACTGAGGACTAGAATTATTGGTGTACACCACATACGGCTTGACGGCTCAATGGTGCAGTGGCTTAGCATTGAGTTGCAGCGCTAATAGCCGCCGGTTCGAATCCCGCACGGAACAAGTATTTGTATGGCCTACTAATAATTGTTCCGGGCTTGGATGTTTGTTCTTGTGCAATTTATGTATATAAAGTACCCCCACCGTACATGAGAAGATCCTAAGGTGGTGTTAATGCTTATATAAGATAAAAGAGGGAATTATTTAAAAAAAACAAAAACCAAAAATTCTGCAGCATCCGACTGTGGCTCTGATAACACAGATGAACAAACTTCATAATATTACATATATGTCTTAAACTTTTGCATCAATAACTATCTTTCTCCCTCGAGTTTAACACATTCCATTAATAAATGTCGTCGCCCACTCACATACTTCATCATTAATTGCGCAAACTTTTTGGAAGGAAGGTGTCCTGTGCGTAATCTACTTACAGTTTTTACGCAAGGTGTCTTAAAAGAAATATTATATTTAAACTGCGCCAACGTAACAAATCTCAATCTATCTAGAATAATTCGCAAGTGCACTATCTATTGTTTTACTCTCATAGTGCGATGGGACGGTCATCCATCACGACTGGAGATTTCAAGAGCAGGACCAATGGCTTTACACACTTTACGAGGCACGGAAATAAAACACCTCCAACTTCGTCCCCGGTCGGCTACTGAGAATTTCTTGACATAAATAACCAGTAACTGATATTGGCCAGATCCCGGATGCAAATCCGGGGGACCTCATGGTCAGCAATCACGTTTACGACCACCAAGGCAAACTAACGACGTTGAAAGAAAAACGGATTTAAACACTTTTGAAGAGAATGAAATAAGAAACTTCTTTCCAATGGCTAATGCATCCTTGATTGAATTTATGAATGTATCTGATTCACCACTGTGCATAGGACAGCACTTATGTCAACGACAATAGACATTTTTCCAATATCGTGTATTCACTATATATCTATACAGGCAGAATATATATACAAGAATTTTTCACGTATGTACTGACTCATCACGATATCTCTGGAACACCATAAGGCCTAGAGATTTGAAATTTGGTAAGAATATTCCTTTCGCCGAGTAAAGGTGGTCTATGAACGATTTTACAAACACCCGCAACGGGGGTTGCGCGGGCGTTATTAAAAAAAACATTTTTAAACTATAGCTCTTATAGGTATATAATCATTATTTTTGGTAAGTTACAAATTACCAAGGACGGATTTTATGAAATTCCACCCATAATATAGTCCACCTGATGATAAGTGGTTACTGTGACCCATAGACATCTACATCTATCCTCAATAAAGACTCAAGATGCAGATGCGTTGTCGCCCGTGAGGACTAAGATGGAATGCCTCTTTGCCAGTAAAAAGGGTAAATAGCAGCGTTAAGCTGCTATTTTACGCTGGTTTTCTGTGAGAGCGTGGTCCTTCCTCGGTCGAGCCGACCCATTGGTGCTACAACTTTACTATTAATATAGCTGCAGCATTACTCTACCAAGTAATTTGATAGCCATACACCGTCAAGTTTACCGGACGCCGCTTTAAGCGCGCTGCAAACTTGACGGTAAACAGGATCGTGTATGGCGTCCAACAATATTATCATAACTCGCATTGTATTTTTGTTTACCTCATTTTAATTTGGATTTGTATTAGCTCTTCACTTAAATATGTAACGTTATAGTGAGGTGGTAAGATCTAAGTCTTTGCTTTATTAAAAGATGTTATTTTTTACCAGAAAGATCATTTTTCATTTCAATTTAGCAGCTCCTACTTAGCAATCCCAGCTGCATTTGTTGGTTCTTTGCTTTTAACAAAATTTTATAGAATTTAACTAGAAATAATTTTGTTTCAGGCCCCTATGTTACTGGTATTTTATCAAATCTCATCGGCAGGAAACCATGTCTGCTGATGGGTGGATGCTTGAACATTCTGTGTTACGTGCTCGTAATAACAACAAAAAATATCTCCATGGTTTTGGCGTTGAGAGTTATAAGTGGTCTTGGGATGGGAATTACTACTGTATGCAACTTGGTGTACGTTGGTGAAATTGCGTAAGTGCACAAAATAATATATTAAATTAAAATCAAACATTTTTATTAGCGACTACGAAAAATGTTACACTGGGTTACTTGCTCCTACTTCCTTAGAACAGAGGCTTTTTCCGAACCAGGCATAAAAGTAAAAAAAAAATATACTTTGAATATATATATTCTTTTACTTATTAGAAGCCAGTGCTTGACCACTATCTCATCTGGTGGTAAGTGGTGATGAAGCCTTAGGTGAATCGCACTGTCTTAGCGTCACCAAAGCTTGTTCACGCTTGCCTTGAAGACGCCCAGATTGTAATCGGACGGAAAGGCAGACGCCGACAAATTATTCCACTTTGCTGCACGCATTACAAAAGATGAAGCAAAGCGTTCTGTTCGAATTTTTACCGTTACCGTTACATACTTTTAAAGTCCACTGCTGAACATGGACTTCCCTCATACATTGCCTCATTGAGGGAATATTCGCGTCTTCTTGATAACGGCTAAAATAATAAACAGTGGTTTCCAACCTGCTTGCTAAGCGTGACAGTTTTCTTTTTATAGAATAAGGGTGACCAACGAGCCACACAGTCCACCTGATGGTAAGTGGTTACTGTGGCCCATAGACATCTACAGCTATCTTCGTTTGCGAATTAAAATTCAGATGCGTTGTCACCCGTGAGGACTAAGATAGAATGCCTCTTTTCCAGTAAAAAGTGTCTCCGGTTCTCTACACTCACCATACGAAACACAGCAGTGTTAAGCTGCTATTTTACGCTGGTATTCTGCGAGAGCGTGGTCCTTCCCCGGTCGAGCCGACTCATTCGTGCTACAACTATACTATTAATACCGGCAGTTACGGCAAATCGTCCCTTCAACTGACTTGAATCGGCAAAAATGTTACCGCACCGCATTTATTTGCCGATTTACGTCCATATTCAAAATGCCTCTCATTTCTATTTTAGTTCTCGCGATATTTTATGATAGGTACTCTTGATCATTGTGACAATGTTGAAAAGTGTGATACTGTGCTTAAGAAATAAGTAAGTCAAGAAGCACTCCAACGTAATCTTAATGTATTTTATCACAAATAACGATCTAATTTATATCGCCATCGTCACCCTGTTATCTTATCTTAAATGTCTACGATTTCGTCGCTTTTTCTCTTCATTCCCTCGATGGGTTGTTGTTTTATTTATTTTCTTTTCGATGTAAATTTTCATTTTACACTTATAGCCAATTAAAAGTCAACTGCTAAACATAAGCCTCCCCCTTGCCTCATAGAGGAATATTTGCCATAGTTGCCAAGCTTGGCGGACGGGTTGGCAACCGCAGTTTTTTATTTTTAGTTGTTATTAGAAAGACGCTGCCCGTCTCCCTTTGTCGTCTCTTATGGCACCCACGGGATGATATAGGGAAGTGGATATTCTTACACCGCCACTACACAGTTAACACTTCTCATTTTGATTTTATTCGCGTTATATTGTTAAGCATGTCTTCACGAGCAAGTAGTAGGATTAATCTTTTACAATAATACTCTTAGGTAATAGCGTTCAAAGTACCACTTAAACACCTGTTACGCATTGCTATCAAAACATTAAATTAATAGTCAATAGTGATAATTACTACAAATTTCTTACTGTCTCTTTGTGTACAATCCCCAACAGCATCACCGAAGTTATTATAGAAGTTTTTAGTTATAATCGTGAGGAAATGTAATAATTTCGATATCATAGGAAAGCATTGGCGCAACGCGACCGATTCTACAAAAGCCCTCCAAAAATGAAGTATGTGCTCAGATATGGGACGCATTTAGGCTCTCACTGCTGACCAGTAGGCTTTAAAGTTATATACCAAATCTATCGATTTATTTATTGCTATAATATCCACAAATTCTAATCAAAATATTTCGAACACATTTGACATCCACCAACACACATAGTAGCAACGCGGTATACTTATTAATAATAATAAATCTACCGCGTTGCTATAAAATATCTATAACCCTCTAAGGCGTCGTCCTAATACAACGCGAATGCGCGATCATCGTAAGTTCGCGCGAATTTTACGCGTACGAACACGCGATCAAACATACTGACCTCGAATAGGTGTCCTAATTGGCATTCGCGCGTTGAGGTCGCGCGACTTAATTGTTTGTAGATCTATTCGCGCGAACTTAGTTCGTATAAACGCGCGATCAAACATATTGCTGTCGAATAGGTGTTCTAATTGATATTAGCGCGACAATCGCGTCGTGTCGTCGGGCAGCGGGGTGAAGGGCAGGAACCCGACCTGTATTGATTGTGAAATTCACCACGTATCGATCTTATTATTTTCTAACAAAGCACATTGTGACCCATTTTTTTTCTTTGCTGACACGACCAGCAGAATAGGTCATCCATATGTTTCCAGAAAGTAAAAACTGGGCGTTTCTGAGGTCCATGTTTAGCGCCAATGCCATGCGCAAACTGCGAATCGAAGCGGAACCTGCGGCCGCTCGTATCGTCAATTCGCGCGATGATCGCGTATTCGCGTTCTATTAGGACACCCAGTTTGTGAGATCGCGCGAACACGAGATGTTCGCATCACTCACTCGCACGATGATCGCGTAATCGCGTTGTATTAGGACGACGCCTTAGAAATCTGAGGAGGCATGTACCCAGCACTAAGACGTATATTTGCTGTAACATACACCTAGTAAAATATTATTTATAATTTATCTATACATCTATACAAATAAATAAAATTGAAGTGTCTGTTTGTAATGTCAAAATTACAGTTTTTTACTAAATGCATTTGAGAGTAAATACGGTACTTATGACTAAAATACAATTTTAAAATTTTTGTCTGTCTGTCTGTTTGTTCCGGCTAATCTGCGAAACGGCTGAACCGATTTTGACGGGATTTTCACTGGTAGATAGCTGATTTCATAAGGAGTTACTTAGGCTACTTTTATTTTAGAAAAAGAATTAGAGTTCCGTGGAATAATATAAAAACCCTAACCCGCGGGCGAAGTCGCGGGGAACAGCTAGTAATATATAATATACATTACGCCGCCGTTGTAGCTCAGGAGTTAAGCGCTTGTTGTAAATTTCTTAGTGTGCGAGCAACCCGGATACGATCCTCGCTGGCACTAATGAAATTGTTAATTGCAATTTTAAGTGCTGATTTACCATGTGGTTGGCATTGAAGGAAAACATCGTGAGGAAACCTGCATGTCTGAGAAATAAGAAAGAAAGATTTCGAAGACATGTGAAGTTCGCCAACAGGCATTGGGGCAGCACGGCAGGCATTTTATTGCCCTAAACCCTCTCAGATATGAGGGCAGACCTGTGCCCAGCAGTGGCAGTGTATATAGGCTGTTTCGATAAATTACCGACGCAATTAGACACTATTTATTTTGAAGGTATGATTCTATAATAAAGAACTATTCTTTTAAAAAAACAACAATATTATGGTACAGAAAAATCGCTTTGTATTGCGCGAGTTAAGTGACAATCAGCGCCATCTGTTCGTCGAAAGTAAAATCTCGCCGACATAGCCTATAACTTAAACTCAGTATATAAGTTTTACTTTACATCTAGTATTTTACTAGTTTCTAGGTGGTAGTACTTCTTTTCTGCCCATGACTTTCTTTTCCTTCCTCTTACTTATGTCTACTGCTAAATAGCATTGCAATGCTTTGTTAGTCTTAAAGATACAGATAGCCAATACAATTACAGACTGTGATGCATTCCATCGCAGTCCTCAGAGGTGACAACGCATCTGTGTCAGCTTCTTTCCATTAAGTGGACTGTTTGTTTGGCACTTCAGTTGTGTAAAGAAGTCTATACTAATTTATTAATATTTTTAGATCAACACACATAAGGGGTATATTGCTAACATCAACTGGAATAGTAGGAATAACTGGAACCTTGATAGTTTACGCCGTAGTACCGTACGTATCTTATGTGACAACTGGTTACATTGCGCTCGCAGTGAGCATTGCACATGTCATTGGCCTGTTCTTCGTACCAGAGTCGCCGGTCTATTACGCTATGAAAGGTAAGATAATAATACTTGTTTATATGATGAGGGGATGTAAGAGACGTTTTAAAACCGTGCAGTGGCGTTGCAATGGTAGAGGGGTATCCCCCTAAACCGGGTGGCAGGTTAATTATGTAAGTTATATTATTATGCAATGTACACTTTTTTGCATTGTAATTTATTTCAACGCTATAATATTTTTAATTATATAACTACCACTAGAATAGTATATAACTATTTTTTTATAGGATAGGGTGACAAACGAGCACACAGTCCACCTGATGGTAAGTGGTTGCTGTGGCCCATCAGTCATCTCCATCTATATTCGTTTGCGAATTAAAATGCAGATGCGTTGTCAGCCGTGAGGACTAAGATGCAATGCCTCTTATCCAGTAAAAAGGGTCTCCGGTTCCCTACACTCACCATACGAAATACAGCAGTGTTAAGCTGTCCCGCTGTGCTACCCCGGTCGAGCCGACCCATTCGTGCTACAACTACACTACTAATATAGCTGCAGCATGGCTCTACCACGTATAATTGACTAGTTAAGTTTCGGGAGCGGTGTTGAAGCTTTTTAAAAACAACTAAATATGTCTCAATGACATTTATTACTATTACATTACAATAATCTATTAAAATATTAATCTATTAAAACTGATTGAGTGCAATATTGACTTGCTTAACTAAGTGGTAACATGACTACGATGAGTTCTATAATGAATCTTATTCTAAATCCGACCGATTATATAGGATGGTCAAAACAAGTCTGTTGACTGAAAGTGTCACGTCTTAGTTTGACCAGCAATAACAACTATACAGTGGAGTCAACGTCTTGTGTAACGGTACACTTAAAAAAAAATTGTTTTGATATTCGTATTCTGGCTAATGTAATATGAAAAAAATATGCGTGAAACGTGATTAATTTTTGACCAGTGCAACTATTTTAACTTATAATACCGTACCGGTGAAAACTACTAGACAATCGCTTTTAGTTTATTCTAAGGTTATTGTGATATTCATATTTTAATTGTTAATTTCTCAGTATTCCCGTTAGATATTGTCTCTTTTTGAAGCATCATCTGTTGTATTAATTACTCACTGGACAATTTTAGCTTAATTTCTGGCCAATTGAGGTTCCACGTTTATCAAATCGATTTCGTAATGAATGCAGAAATTTTCTTATTTTCATTAGCAACAGCTCTAACTTTAAGCATGCAAAAGGTTTTGGAGATTATTTACTCTAAGTAATCGGGATATCTATTGTACTGATGCAACGTTACCCACAGCAAAATTTGAACCCCCTTAGAATTTTTTTGTGAGCAGTATATCAGCTCCGTAAATATCATCATGTTGTGTGTGGAACACCACAGCCCTTGCGTTATCTGCTACTTACAATACCACCTTTCCATCGAAGTGTCCTTCCTATGACCAGACTTATTAATATATACTATATACAATTCTGTTGTATTAATATCCGCAATAAAATTAATCATAGATTTATTTTGGCACTTGGTAGCAGGACTGTCGCATAATATATTGCAATCAGATTAACTGTCATTTCATCTTTCTTGTTATCAAAAACCATTCCTGTGTAATCAAGTCAACGGAAATGACGTTCACAGATATGAATAAACACTGTTTTGAATAAATACTCAGCAAGTTTCAAGGTTACTGCTCATTTGGCAGTGAAAAAGAAAATTAAATCTAATGATTCAATTTTTTTTTAATTTTTAATTACTATTTTATGATGTTAACAAGATTGATGTATGAACTTTCAATATACATTCATATAATAAACGTAAAAAATAATAAAAACTAGTAAAATATTGGTATGATAAAAAGAAAACACAAACGGGTGCATTATTTTTGTTCAACGTAAGTTAGATGTGATGTGACAATTGGTTATTAATCAACGCAAAACGGATTTACGCAAATTTTATTACAAAAGTTAGCTTTGTTTACAGTATGACGAATTTTCGGATACGCGAGTAGAATAAATGCCGTCTAGTGGCGGTTAAGAATATCCACTACCCCATATCTTCCCATGAGTGTCGTAAAAGGCGACAAAGGGAAACAGGCAGGAGATGGGCAGCAGCATCTTCCTGATAACAGCAAAAATACAATAAAAAAACTGTGGTTGCCAACCGACTCGCCAAGCGTGGCAACTATGGCAAATACCCCCCTATGAATGTAACAAAGAGACGGCCCCCAGTCCCCGGCGGCCCCGCTATTCCTGGCTACGGTGGCGACCATGGTAACGGCGGGGTACGAGGTGCTAAGAATCTCCGGTAGAGGTTCGGTTGCCACCTAAGACGACTCGACCTGGCAACATACAACGCACGCACACTGAGGACTGACGAGAAGATTGTGGAGCTGGAAGAAGAGATAGACAAGTTACGCTGGCATATTATAGGATTATCCGAAGTCCGAAGAGGGGGGGAGGACACGGTAATCCTCGAATCCGGCAACTTGCTCTATCACCGGGTGGACGACCATCTGTCCCAAGGAGGTGTCGGATTTATTGTCCACAAGTCTTTCGTTAACAACGTTGTAAAGATTGAGAGTGCATCGACGAGGGTTGCGTACCTTATACTCAGAATCACCAAACGGTATTCGCTGAAGGTCATATAGGTTTACGCACCAACCTCGGCACACCCCGATGAGGAGGTGGAGGAAATGTATGAGGATACCTCTAGAGCCATGCGTTCCCCCAAAACCCAATATACGGTGTTAATGGGAGACTTCAATGCAAAACTGGGCACAAGAGAGAACAGTGAGCTGAAAGTAGGGAAATTTGAAATAGGGCAACGGAACCCAAAGGGCCAGTAGCTGGCCGACTTCATGGAGAAAGAGGGACTCTTTATGCCCCACGGGAAGTGGACCTGGTCGAGCCCTGACGGTTTGACAAAAAATGGGATTGACTTCATTATGACGACCAGACGACAACTGTTCAGTGTGTCTCCGTGATCGCGAGGGTGAAAACTGGTAGCGATCACCGAATGGTCAGAGGCACACTGAACCTAAACGTTAAGTTGGAGAGGCCTTGTACATGCACCTAGTTGCCCAGACTAAGGTCGACTATACAGGGGCCCATACAGCTGTAGATTCGACGGACAACTAAGTGTGGGGCTCAAATGCCTATGGATATTTAATATATATAGATTAGGTACTTAATGCGACTTACCTGGTTCAGAAGCGAAGAAGGACAAGGCTCGTTCAGGCGTTAAGTGTAGTGAATGTAAGTAGTGTGTGAGAAGTGTATATATGTTTAACCTGAATTAGCCCTTTTTAACCAGCAGCAACCCTAACTCCAGCACCGCCACCCTATGTGGTATCACTCCAGCGGCGTCACTCGGTGTCACTCAAAGTCTAGCGTCCATTAGCACAAATCTATAATCTAATACGAACGCTGGTTCTCGCGGGTCACAAAGTTTAGCGGTTTTGACCGACACAGGAAAATATCTCCGAATTAAATGAAATGGCACAAAGCAACTCGTTGACGCGAATTAATATTGTCATAAAGCACTTATGCATGCAGCCACTATACCACTTGACGCTAATTAATTGTAATGACGTTAATTAATCGCTCAAACTTAAAATTCATCCTCGTTGACACGTAAAACAAGCAAAAAAAAAAAACAACGCAGAAATGAGAGGCACTTAAATCGACGTTATAACTCCACACGCGTCCTTTACAACCGGTAGTTCCTCACAATGATTCTCTCGACACGTCCCGTTCGACACGACTTCGAATGGAACGCGAGCGCGCGGAGGGGTGGCGGTGACCTTGCTACGGTGCTATGCACGCTCCGAGCGTGCGTTATGAATTCAATTTTCAAACGGTTAATATTTTGCCTAAACAAACCCCCGCCCCGGACATAAGGACTTATGTCCGCGAGTAGATTGGCAAACGGGATAGGGTCGCGACGGAACGTTGCAAGACCGAATCTCCGACCAAAACCTCGGCCACTCTCGGCACCCCATCCGATCCATACGACAACTTAACAATGCGCCCACGGCGCCAATACAAAGGCAGAGCGGTGGGTTCTTTAACCAACACGAGGTCTCCAACCCGAGGAGGATCCGTCATTTCAGACCACTTAACGCGCTGCTGCAAAAGATGTAGGTACTCCAGAGACCATCGGTGCCAAAAACTCTGAGTCATCTGTTGCGGCAGGTCAAATTTGCTCAGCCGCGAAGAGTTTACTTCCCTGAAGGGGTACTCGGGCAGGGTGTTAAGCGGCTGGCCAATCAGGAAGTGTCCCGGGGTTAGAACCTCTAAATCCAGATAAGAGGCGACAGAGGGGCCGAGAGTTGAGTACCGCCTAAATTTTACAGAATACAGTTGCAAGCTCCTTAAACGTCAAAATAGTTTCGCCAATAACGCGACGGAGATGCGTTTTTGCAATCTTAACCACCGCCTCAAAAATACCGCCCCAATGTGGGCAACGCAGTACCTAAATACGTCCTGTTGTTGGACAGAAATTCGACGACATCTTTCAAATATCTATCCGTGCCCTTATAATTCGTTCCGCAATCAGACCGGATCAGGTCCGGCAAACCGCGACGCGATACGAAGCGGCCCAGCGTGGCCACAAAGGCTTCAGTGCTGAGGGCACTTACCAGTTCTAAGTGAACGGCCTTAGTGGAGAGGCACACGAAAACGCACAGATAGGCCTTATGTGAACGCGCGTTACGAAGGTTGGAGGACTTGACGAGGAAGGGGCCAGCAAAGTCTGTTCCGACTCCATGATGGCCGGATAGCTCTGACGCGGTCAGGTGATAAGTCACCCATCATAGGCTGCGATATGGTGGCCTTCAGTTTATAACATGGTATGCACTATAAGATGACGCTCCGAATGGTGCGTCGGCCAGCCAAAATCCAAAACTCCCGCTGCAAAATAGCCGAAAGAGCATTACACCCAGCGTGGGCATTCTTAACATGATGGTGGGTTACCAGCGACCGGACAAAGGCGCCGTCCTTAGGGAGCAGTAACGGGTGTCGAGCCCCGTACGGCAGTTGAGGATTTTTCAAACGTCCGCCAACGCGCAGTATCCCAGCGTCGCCCAGGAAGAGGTTCAAATGGGCCAGAGCGTCCTTGACAACGGAGCCCCGCTTCAAGTTTTCAATCATGGGCTCAAAATGCTCCGCTTGGATCATACGGGTCCAATGCATCAACGCTTCGCGACGCTCGCTAGGCGACAAAACGGAATCAGAGATTCGGTTGGACGGGTCTCTCGAATTGCGGACAAATCGACGCAACCAAGCAGTCACTCCTAAGAGCTTATCGAGAGAGTTGTATCGCTCTTGCAGGGAGAAATCCCGAGTGGGCTTATCCTTGCCCACTCCTACTCGGGCTCGTAGGCCAGGCAATTCAATCGGTTCGGAGTATTTATTCTGGGGCCAGAATGACTGAGACTCAGTCAACCAACTGGGACTCTATCACAGCGGGTAGTCAACCAACGAGGGTGCTTCACAGCCGCGAGAAGCGCAGTCTGCGGGATTCAACTCCCCTGGGACATGTCTCTAGTTTAGAGACGTCTCAGAATTCTGGATTTGAGACACACGGTTCGCCACAAAGACCTCAAGATTGTGAGGTGCAGCTCTAAGCCAACAAAGTACTATCTCACTGTCCGACCAAGCGTAGACGTCCATAATATCGATTACAGACTTCAAAGACGAGTGAACGTGGTTGAGGAGTCGCATGAGAAGAGAGGCTCCGGGCAGTCCCAATTTAGGGATAGTTAAGCGGGACCTAATGGGAGCAACCTTGCTTTTAGCAAGTACGAGATGGACGGAAGTATGGCCAGAAGGGCTCACAGTCCGCAAATATACGACAGCAGCATAACCTTTCTCAGATGCGTCGCAAAACCCATGTAGGGTAGCCCTGCATTTCCCTGGAGGGAGGAAGCACCTTGGCATGGAGACTCGGTTGATGTCCGTAAGGGAGGACACAATGAAGAGCCACTCTCGCAAGAGGGCACCGCTAATAGGCTCGTCCCAACCCAACCCGGATATCCAGAGCTTTTGAAGAAAGCACTTAGCCAAAAATGTGACCGGAGTGATCCATCCATTAGGATCGAAGGTGCGGGCTACTGTAGACAGCACGGAGCCCAATGGCCAAAGCCATGGACCAATGCTTTAGGAGCTAGATCGAGTTTGACTCGATACGTGAAAGTATCCTGCACAGGCTGATATTGAATGCCCAGCACAGTCAACAAATTAGGATTTTCAGGGTGCTCGAATAGATGAGGGTCTTGTTCATCCTCTCCTGGGAGGTCCTTCAAAACATGAGGGGAGTTCGACAACCATTTTCGCAACTCATAACCTCCAGACTTCAGGATGGCAATCAATTCGTCTCGTAATATAAGAGCCTCCTCGACGGTGGAGGCGCCCGTGCAAATGTCGTCCATGTAGACTGAAGTCTCCAAAATAGAAGCTCCCCGAGTGTAGTTTTCAGTGCCTAGAAGACTGCAATGGAGTGGACAATATGAATGACAAGCTCGTGGAAACTGTCCGTGCGGTCGGAGCTAAATTCTGCAAGACCCGCCACAGAAGAACACAAAAACTCTCCGATCACACTCTTAATCTCATGGCTGTTAGACGGGAGATGAAGCTACATTCTTCAACAGATTTGACAGTATACGGGCAACTAAACAGACAGATCTCCAAATGCATGCGGCGGGACGTACGCAACTTCAATACAGCTTTTTTAGAAACAGAAACAGAAACAGAAACTTTTTTATTCAATATAGATTATAAATAATACTTATTGAAAGTCACTCTTTTGTTTGATTACCACTGGTTCGGAAAAAACCTCTGTCCTGGGAAGAACCAGCAAGAAACCCAGCGGGACTTTTTTTTTAAATAACAGCTTACAATCATGATGTTACACAAATTAACAACACAACAAATTAGAAATAGCTTGGTAGCGATCACCTCATTTCCAGGGGTTATTATCATCCATAAATTCCTTAATATTATAAGAACCCTTTTTTTTTATTGAATTGTATTGAAGAAGCGATCGAGCGGAACCAAGGCTCCAAAGTCTTTGCCAGAGATCTGTCTGCCAGAAAGAGCCAACTGTCAAAGCTGAAGACCGAGTGTGGCAGCATCGTTTCCGGGGCACCTGAGATTTTGAGTAAGATTAAGAGGTTCTATGGGCAGCTGTACACGTCATCGTTGGAGTTTTTATTTAAAACACCAGAACTTAATATCTTAAGCAAAGTTCAGATTGTTTTTACTTGGTTAGTATAAATTAAATGCCTATGCATATGCCTTTTGCATAAATACGATAAAAAAAGGAATAGAAGATATGTTGTTTTAACAACGTTATTACACAACTAAATAGTCGCGGATCGACCGTTTAGTTGAGTCGTAATTATAATTTATATTGAAGTCGGTTGTACAAAATTTTAATTTTACCACTTGCATTCTCTTAATATCAACCTGTGATAAGTAACGGACGGACCGATGGGGGAAAACCCATCTATGGGTCGGAGCATACACTTACAATTAACTGGACTGTGCACTTTTTTTCCACCATCACTTGCGTAAAAATTGACCTCATCTGTTTTACTAAAAACACTGGCGTTTTTTAAGTAGATTAATGTCTGCGTATCTTAATTTACGAGACGAGATAATATTAATCTGATTGTAAATTTATTTCACAACAATCATATGGTGACAGAGATTACATATTATTTTTGATTTATTAATCAAACATAATAATCTACCTTCACTATTAATTTCCGTTTTAACCAAAATAAATGTAACTTAACTGAAATAAATGTTTTAACAATTAGAATAAACCAAAACTACATAAATAACACTGAAATTATTTATGCTAGAAAATAATATAAACGATTATGCCAAATATTATCTACTAGCTGTTCCACACAACTTCGCCCGCGTGGAATTTATTTGCGATTGAATTTCATGGATTTTAATTTTTTTTTGCGCGAAACAGTAATTCTGTTCCTTAAATAAAAGCTTAAGTTACTCCTTATAACATCAGCTATCTGCTAGTGAAAGTCCCATCTAAAGTGGTTCACAGGTTTTTGTATAATGCGTTTTTAGACAGACGTCATGTTAGAGTTTTATAATAGTAATAGATATATAAATTTTTATTTAGATTTAAACCATTTAATAAATTGCACTATGATATACTATAGTCGTTCCTATGTAACATGACCAAAACTTTAAAGAAACTGCAATCGACACTAATTGAATACATGTCAGGTTCCAGCTGTAACATTTTGTATCAAATGAAATTAAAGTCTTTAAAATAAAAGATACTCGGTTTTGTATGAAGAAAATTTAATGTAAAAACTATTTAAAAAATGTTAAATTTAATGTAAATATTCTCTTCCTTTTCTCAGTCTAATGTTTAATAGGTTATTTTTAATATTAACGGACATCAATGACTATCAGAATTGTTTGAAATTCTTTAAAGTTCTATAAATCTAATAGCGTCACGTTGCAGCTACGCTTATGGTCGGCTCGACCGTTTCGTATAGTATAGTGAGTATAAAGAACCGGAGACCCCTTTTTCTAGTAAAAATAAAGGCATTCTATCTTAGTTCTTAGGCGTGACAACGCTTCTACATTTTGATTCTTAATCGAATATAGATGAAGGTGTCTTGGGCATCAACATCCATTTACCATCAGGTGGATTGTGTGCTCGTTTGTTACCATACCGTTTAAAAAAGCGATCACATTATGCTTCCAAAATAAAACCTCTTTGTTTAAAGTAGGTGGTGTTTAAAGTAGATTTTATTACAGGTCAAGAAATCAAAGCAGCAAAAACACTTAACTTACTTGGAAGATCATCGGATTTAGACAAGATTTTAGAGACCTTTGCGCAGAAAAAAAGAGACTCATCGGACAAAATAAAAGACTGGATTGAAATTTTCACAATTAAATCAAATAGAATGTCATTGTTTATAACATTTACACTGGGTGCCCTTCAGCAGACGAGTGGTGTAGCCGTTGTATTATTCTTTGCCACCACAATTTTCGAGCTGGCTGGATCATCTATTAGACCAGATGTTGCAACAATAATAATTGGTGTAACAAGATTAGTGTCGAGCATAATCGCTCCTACATTTGTAGAAAGATCTGGAAGAAAAATTCTATTACTGGTTTCTATGGCTGCATGTGCATTCAGTTTGGTAAGTATATTATGTTTTTTACATTTGTAAATTATAGGAGCGTTAGTTGTTGAGACATAATAAATTAAAAAAAATATTAAGATATTATTGCAAATAAACAATATCTGTATTAAAAAAGGAAATAAGGGGCTCAGGGAATATTAATTAATGTAATGAGACCACAAACAAGTACAATAGACTATGCAGAAAGTCTGGGCAATTTTTTTTATGAAGCACTAGCCAGTTATATATTACTTTGAAAAAAAAAACGACATTTTACAAGTGATGATGCGAAAGTTCCAATTTCAAATTTCACTACACATTTTTCACAAGCTAATTTAAAATATAGTGATTGATTGAAAAATGGATCTGCGCTAGAAACATTTTTACGATCTAACTTTTTAAGATTCCTAGTGTAGCCAAAAACCGGATAAACGGTTTAATAGAGTTTAAATATGGTATTTATGTATAAAGGCCATTCTAAGGCAAATGTAAACCGCTGGTACAATAAATTTTAGCACAGCTAACTGATTTTGTGATATGGAGAAAGAAATGGTCGCTCTTTAACGGCCGTCGTGGAAGGAAACGGTCGAGCAATTAATTGAAAATAATAGATGAACTGGCTTCGTGGCGCAGTGTCTTAGCAATGAATCACCGCAATGGGCTGCGGGTTCGTATTCCGCACGGTACAAATATTTGTATGGCCTACAAATAATTGTTCCGGGTCTGGATATTTATCCTTGAGAAATTTATGTATGTAAATTGCCCCCACAAAAATCCCAGTGTGAAGGTGACGTTTTATAAAGAAAAGAAGAAGAAAAATAATTACATTTTTTTTTCTTATAAAAAACGTTACCACCACACTAGGATTTTCTTCTGTATCGTGGAGGCAGTTTACAAACATAAATTGCACGAGGACAAACATCCAAACCCGGAACAATTCTTTGTAGGCCTTACAAATACTTGTTCCGGGATTCGAATCCGCGGCCCCCAGCGCAACAACTCATTGCTAAGCCACTGCGCCACGGAGCCGTCAAATGAAGGGATTGAGCACATATTGTAGATTGTATCGGGAAACGTTTACTAGATTTTACACGAACGCCTTAAATGAGGATAGTTTCGACTTGTTTCGGCGTTTTACGATCGTATTACAGATGACGAATCTTTCACTTATCAAGACGATCCAATGAAGCGCCAGTCAACAGTTTGGCTGTTTCAAAATGAACCAAAGCTCAAACTGAGGCGATCGAGACAATCGCAGGGCATAATTTGATCGCTAGTTTTTTCACTTCAACGGAATATTTGGTGTCATTTTCTTTACAAAATCGAAGAAGTATCAATGTCGAATGGTTTTATCCAAATGCTAGTAAGAAGTGTTTACTGCTGTGAGCAATAATCGACTAACTTCACCTTGACAAACCGCTCGCGCACTTAGCGCTCAAAACGAAGAACTAATGGACAACGACTTGCGTCACCCTAATTACAGCCCTTTAGAAATTTTAGAAAATCTCTTTGAATAGCCCACATATATTTCTGTCCATTTTTGAGTTGGTATTTTCGTTTTAATTATCAGGCGAAGGAAAAGGCATGATTATAATTGATTCTTGAAGTATAGGAAATAGACGTTTCAATTTTTAAAATAAAACCAACGTAAAATAGCAGCTTAATGCTGCTGTTTTTCGTATAGTGAGTGTTGAGAACTGGAGACAATTTTAACTGGAAAAGAGGTATTAGATGTCTACGGACCACAAAAACCACTTACCATCAGCTTGTCACCTTTATCCTATAACAAAAAATATATAAGAAGTATTTTGCTTTTATTTAATTATATCAACACATTGAGCATTTAGAAATGTCTAATCTAGAAATTAAAACAAATGCTTGATTATAAATAAGCTTATCTTAATAAGAGGATTAATGTTGTGCGTAACGGTGATTTCGGATTTATTATCGTTAATTATAGTAAAAAATGATTTTCCTTATATTACAATTGTATAACAGTTTAAGGCACTATAAAAAGCCACTGACGAGATCTGATATCGGAGCGAGATTAGATGGCTCTCTAGCACCTTAAAACCGGCAAGTCTCCGGGACAGAATGGAATTTCTTTTATAGGATAGGGTGACAAACGAGCACACAGTCCACGTCATGGTAAGTGGTTGCTGTGGCCCATGGAAGTCTACATTTATCCTCGTTTGCGAATCAATATGCAGATGCGTTGTCACCCGTGAGGACTAAGATGGAATGCCTCTTTTCCAGTGAAAAGGTTCTCCGGTTCTCTACACTCACCATACGAAACACAGCAGTGTTAAGCTGCTATTTTACGCTGGTATTCTGTGAGAGCGTGTTCCTTCCCCGGTCGAACCGACCCATTCGTGCTACAACTATACCACTAATATAGCTGCAGCATGGCTCTACCACGTGTAAATTATTACTTATTTATTTATTATTTATAGAAATTAACAAAGTTAATGGGGTCAGTTCCATGGTGGAATTTTGATTATCATCTTCAGACCCAAATTTGTTCACGGCGGCCACTTTCAATGGAGACTAGTCATCTGCTCGAGACAGGATTATTGCTCACGAGTATGTTCGTAAGCATATGTGCACTCTATATCATTCCCTCTCTCTCATAGTCCAATGGGACTGCAATCTGACACTACCGGAGAGTAGCGGCGCAGGACTAAGCGCAGGCTTTACCGAGGTACGGGGGGAAACCCGCCAACTTCTTTCTTGACAGAATAATTAATTTCTTGATAGAACAACCCAATAACTAGATGGCCCAATATGGAATTCGAACCCAGGATTTCATATTCAGCAGCCGCGCTAACAAGCACTAGACTAACGAGACAGTTAGTAAAAGTTCGTTAGTAACAATTTACCATTTGTTTCAGGGTATTCTCGGTTTGTTTTTCTTCTTGGAAAGGATACAGAGTTCGGTAATTGAATCGATAGGTTGGCTTCCACTAGTTGCATTAATAATTTATTTCTTCTCATACGAAGCCGGTAAGTTTAAAAATTAATCATTAATCTATAAATACAAATAAAATTGAAGTGTGTATAATATATAATATTAAAATAACTGGCTTTTCTTAAGCTTTGGGTGGGGGGCTTGTTTGCATGCTATTTTAAGATATAAACAACATTTTTTTTTAATTTTTGGCTGTCTGATTGTGGTGAAACTTTACGAACAGATAGAGAGCAATGCCAACAAGGATTTAGGCTATATTTTATCCGAAAAGCTTGAAGATAAAAAAAAAACCAGAAAAATGTATATCTGGTCCTTAATCTTTTTTTTTATAGGATAGGGTGACAAACGAGCACACATTCCACCTGATGTTAAGTGGTTGCTGTGGCCCATAGACATCTACATCTATCCTCGTTTGATATCAAAATGCAGATGCGTTGTCACCCGTGAGGACTAAGATGGAATGCCTCTTTTCCAGTAAAAAGGGTCTCCGGTTCTCTACACTCACCATATTAAACACAGCAGTGTTAAGCTGCTATTTTACGCTGGTATTCTGTGAGAGCGTGGTCCTTTCCCGGTCGAGCCGACCCATTCTTGCTACAACTATACTACTAATATAGCTGCAGCATGGATCTACCACGTATGAAAATCTAAATAAAGCCACATTAAAGATCCTATCCAGGCGAACCAGAGTGTGTCGCTAGTATAAATTAAAGTAACCGTGATGGGCTCGGGTTCGGGCATTTTTTTCAACACAAAACTAAATTAACAAACCTGATGGTCAGTAGTTACTGCAGTCCATGAACGTCTGCAGCCAACTTTAAACAAAGATGTCTACAGATGCGTTTTCACCTCTGAGGACTAAGATGGAATGCCTCATAGCCTGTATTTGTACTGACTCTCTATATCCTGCAGACCGTAACACGGCAAGCACTGCTATTTGGCGTCACAAATGGTAAAAGGATGATACCTATCCAGACAGATTCCTGGGCAGAAAAGTGCTACCACCTAGAAACCTGAATTCGATCTCCATTGGTAACACTGAAATTGTTAGCAAGTCTGGAAAATTTCAAAATTATTTCTCCCTACAGTAGAAGCCGGTAGGCGAAATAAAGTGATGACCTGGTAAGACATGCAGGAAGTCAATGGATGCAGGTGGCCCAGGACCGTGATTTGAGGCATTCCTTGTGGGAGGCCTATGTTCAGCAGTGGACTTGTGAAGAGCTGTAATCATGATGATGACAGTAGAAGCATTTGTTTGACAATTTTTGTACGGGCTGATGTAGAAACACACTAACTAAATAGCTTTACTTGACTTTTCTAAAGAATACTAGTAAATCTATTTACATTACTAACCAACTCTAACTGAGCTTTATTACTTGTGCCAAGAGTAATTTACAACAGTAATCGAATGGTGGATCCGAACCTAGGCGCTTTTAGTTTTGAAGTCCCTTCGCTAAACCATTAGACTACTGTCGCTCAAGGGTGTGTAAGTAAGGTAAGGTGGTAAGTGGTTGCTGTGGCCCATAGATATCTACATCTATCTTCGATTACGAATCCAAATGCAAATGCGTTGTCACCCGTGAGAACTAAGATGGAATGCCTCTTTTCCAGTAAAAAGGGTCTCCGGATCTCTACACTCAACATACGAAACACAGCAGTGTTAACCTGCCGTTTTACGCTGGTATTCTGTGAGAGCGTGGTCCTTTCCCGGTCGAGCCGACCGTAACCTTACGTACAACCGTCATTATATGAGGGGAATATGATTGAAAAGGGGCAGGCTAAGTAGGGGGAAGAAGTTTGCAAGTGTCCATATGCAAAATATTGCAAAGGACTAGATTTTTACTGTACAGCCCATGTCCAGCAGTACACTGAAAGTTGACCACAACCTAAAAAAGATGAACATGATCCATTTTATAGCACCATTTTTCGTACGAGTTGTTGATCTGCCGTATACTGATTAATGAAATATTGCATTTCAGGTTTTGGAACTATACCGAATGCAATCGTGGGTGAGATGTTCCGAGCCAATGTTCGTGCGAACGGTTCTGCTCTCGCCATCACTTTGACGTGGCTGGTTGGTTTCGGCCTCACTGCCAGTTTCACCACTATGGTTAACGTCCTAGGGGGAGATGTCACATTTTGGATCTTCGGAGGAACCTGCATTATAGCGTTCTTCTTTACGTACTTTATCGTTCCAGAGACAAAAGGCAAAACCCTAAATGAAATTCAGGAAATGATGAGCTAGTTACTAGTTTCCTAGTCACAAATAATGTTATATAAAGATAATGTTTGTAAATATATAGATGTTTATTGTAAAAAAAGTGTGTATTTATAATGTACTCTCTTTTCCTTATGTAAACATTCAAAATGTTAAAGAAAATTAATTAAGATCAGATAATTAGATAATGTATTATCACCAAACATAAAACGGTGCCACAACGATTATTGACTTGACGAATCTGTTGTCAAAATTTAAAAATGAATATAGATTAAAAAGATTTGCTTTCTGTCAATGTGGTAAACATCGGTCGCCATATTGAAATTCTTCGTAAAGTGATTTCTTCCAAAATCGATACCTTAAAGACCCTCTGATGAAATCGAAGCTGTTGTTGAAATTGAAAAAAAGAGGCCATATCGAAATATTTTGTTAATGACTCGATTACTTTCTGTCGATATTCACAGTCCACACGGACACTTGGATATTGACTTAAAAATAATTTATAGTTAAAATCAATTTCAATTATGATCGATAGTTAATTAATCTATCAGAATTAATCTAAAAAATTATTCTTTTACTTTATTTTAATTGACTTTCCGTCATTAATCCGTCCAATATTTTGAATTTAAAAAGAGATACTTCAAACTATTAAAGATTACTTGCAAGTTTTATTGTGATTGCCGACTCTAATTATTATATCGCCTGATTCTCCGACAATCCATGTCAAATTCCCCAAAACTTCAATGGATTCTCCAGAAATTCCCCTCAGTTTTATTTTAAGAAATGAAACAATTTTGAACTAATTTTATAAGTATTATTTTTTAACTACCTTTTTTATTTTTTACCAAATTTTTTTTCACACTCCATTTTGTAACAAGCATTTTACTCCATGGAGTATTTTCAATTTCTTGCCTTGTTGCCATTAAAAAGTACCACACAGTATCGGCATTTATGTGCATGCGGTTCTCTGCTTCAAAATTAAAAAATAAAGAAACGAAAAGCATTAAATTATACACAAAAATTACCAAAATAAATTCGAAAATTAAATGTGGTGCAATGAAGATAATTAAGAAAGGGAGTCATTCGATATTTATAAGTAACCTAACACAAATGTTAAAATAAATATTTAGATTTCATGAAAAATTTTCTGACTGGGCCCGGGCTATCGATTTTGAAAATACCCGCCTTTTCCCGGTATAATACCAATCCCCAACCAACTTTAAACTCCCCGCAATTTGAGGAATTCCGCACGTGTTGGCAACATTGAAATGTGTGCGGAGCCGCCGTCCGGCCGACACTAGTCGGTGTGTCCTGTAGAGTGGAGGAGTGGAGTTCCTCACTCTGCCAGCGACTTCTACAAGACGTTTCTGGCCAGGGGACTCCACTCTTCATACCGCGCCCCATCGTTGCTTTGTCTTGTCGCTGAGTTAAATCACTATTCATATTTATTACACATATGCTACCGTTTCTAAATGAGATTTCTCTGATCGAAAAAGGAAACGGCGAAAGAAACTTCGTAAGTATCCACTTTTTAAAGGGCATTACTTAAATACCAAGGTCCATATATCAAGTAAAATAAAATAACGAGTGTGATGGTGCAGTAAGAGAATACATCACTCCATTTCGTCCCGTGGGTGCCGTAACAGACGACTAAGAAAAATTCCAGAAAGATCTTATGATTTCCGTTAGACAGACAGACAAGACCAGACCAATGACGGGCAGCAGCGTCAAAGGTGCAAGACGTTTGATAATGCCATCATCAATTCTCTAAATCTCTAAATCTGTCGAGCTTGTCGTCATACCGGTGAGTCACTTAGGCATGTCATCTCCGGTTGTTCGGCGCTTTCTAACTCTGAGTACTTGCACAGGTACAGCCTAGTAGCCAGGATTCTACACCAGGAGCTCGCTCTGAAATACGGTCTCGTAGATCAGAAACTGTCTTATTTTAAGTACTTGCCGGAAGCCGTGCTCGAAAATGACCACGCCAGGCTCTACTGGTACCGGGCCATCAACACAGATAGGACCATTCTTGCGAATAAGCCTGATATTGTGCTGATGGATCGGGCACAGTTAAGGATATTTTTGGTTGACATTACCATTCCTTATGATGAGAACCTCGTGAAAGCCGAAACAGATGAACAGACAAAATATCTGGACCTGGCTCAAGAGGTCACGTAACAAGGACGATTCTTGTATGGGACAAGCATTTGTATGTCCTACAGATAAGTGTTCCGGGTCTGCGTGTTACATCATTACCATAGTCATTACAGCCCATTACAAGTCCACTGCTGAACATAGGCCTCCTCCAAGGAACTGACTGTGCCATTAGTTACCACCATCCATCGAATTCCTGCCTCTTTTACTTTTACCATCTAGTGGAATGCCGCTATCCACTTCACTTACTGCCATTCGAGAACTTTTCTTCCCCATTGGTTGTCAGTTTTTCGAGCTAAATAGCCGGCCTATTGCCACTTCATCTTACTGTTTCGTAGGGATATGTCAGACATTCTGGCTCTACTGCGAATACCTTAATTTTGAATTCTATCACGCGGAGAAGCTCCGAGTTTAACCCTCTCCATAGCTCGCTGAGTGACTTTGAGCTTTCTCATACGAACAGCATGGTCCGTATTTGAATAAGTGGCTTATATGAATTTATGTCTGTAAAACGCCTCTAAAACAAGAGAAATTGCCTTGAGTTTCACACATTTTACGTCAATATTATTTAAGACAAAGAAAAAAAAAGAAAATCTCTTAACTAACGTTGATTATATCGTTGCAATATAGGTATTCATTAAAAATTAAAAGTATTGAATTATGCTGCTGATATAAGTGAATTGATTACATACCGGTTTTTGCAAGCGGAATATTTGTAAATTTTGAGCACTAAATAAAATAAAACTTCACATATTATAACTGGTTAAAGCTTAGGCCGGTCATTTTTATCAACAAAGGACTGAATTTGTATATAAATTATTAAGAGGTATCGATGCGTAGGATCTAAAAACTTTTCAACTTGAATTTTTTTGCGCGAATCATCTCTAAATGTGCAACAAGTAGTCAATGTTTAGAGCCAAAAAGTCACAAAACAGTTTTTCGAGCCGTTCCTAGAAATACTTCGCAGAACCAAGATTTGAGCCACTTCTGCTATAGTTGAATCATGAATTAATTCAGTTTGTTTCTTTTCTCATTAACGGCCTTGAAGAGTTTTAAATTGATTTTAGAGGGGTAGCTAAGAAGGAAACTTAGATGGAGAGATTCGGTATCACAACGCATTTTGATATTATAACTGCGTGGTTGAAAATTATGATCACCCACACTTCATCATCGACCTCTTCCGTTTTAGAGAGGATTTGACTTAACCGTCATCCTAGACAGGTGAATTCGACGATCGAAGTATCAGAAATCTCGCACCTTTGACACTGACGCCAATAGCCAATCTTGGTTTTTACCTCTGGCGTTACCTTGTAATGGCGGTATATGCAATATTCATATTCAATATGGAATATTCACTACGCCATATCGTCCCGTGGCTGTCGATAGAAGCGACAGAGGAAAACAAATCGGGAGATGGGCAGCAGCATATTTTTAAAAACCATAATATAATTAAAATAAACTGCGTTTCCAACAAATATCCCCCCTATGAGATTCTATGGGGAAGGTCTATATTCGGCACTGGACTTTTGATAGGCTACAACGGTAACAGTAAATTAAATCGTATTCCGCCATCTTTCGGAGGACATAATATTTTCATGGTGTTTACCGTAGTCGCCCCTCACGATAGGCACGGGACGAAATAGGGTGGCGACGAATTAGTGATGGGCAAGGAGAAAATATACAGTGATATATTATATCTAATCCATATTTTTAAATAGTGTCTATATATCGTCATCATTTGCATGACGTAAGGACGACAACCACACATGAATGCATACACTTGTCCATTAAAACAACATTTTAAAATATATCAAAATTGATACGAATTTGATACTCTAAAATAAATATCGATATATCGCGATTAAAAAATCGATCATATATATATATTATGAGAAAATATCTATGTATAGATCAAAGACATTTAAGTAGTAGTAGTAATAGACCGGACATCAGCAGTAAAATTGTCGTCTGTGACTTATGTCCTATAGGATATATCTCGGTTAGTCTTAGTGACATCGTCAAAAAGTCAAGACGCATTCGTTTCATATATTTAAAAAATATTTTTAAAGAAAATATGCCCGGTTGTGCATTAAGATATCGTAAGTCACGATATGGAGCAAAAACTGAACGTGATTTCAGTTTATTATCGTAAATATAACATATATTTACCGAATAATCTTTAAATTTTATTATTTCTAGTAGATTGTTCTAGAACATTTATTTTTATGTTAATAGTTTATGTTAATTGTTTATGTATAATAGTTAAAATGTTGTCTTAATAAATGCTTAGCGTTGTTTTGCTATTTTTAGCTAGAGGGTGCCACACGCTCAAATTTTTTGTATATAAATGTTCCTAATGCCCGCTCTATAGTATACCTATATATTTAAATCTCTTTGGTATCGATATATTTTGCCCAAGCTTAGGACGAATTTTCTTATACCTCTAACATAGTGTTATAACTATTACATTATATATTTAAAAATATGCCAAGCGAACGTCTGTTTTTTAATGCATAAAAACAGACGTTTGTTTTGTCCTCATGACTATGCACATTTTATTTACCCCATGTGCATTGCTTTTTAAAAAAAATAGAATACGGTTTTACAACTAGCCGATTAGAACACATAAACTGCTCGAACAAGTACACGTAAAGTCATGAACCGTTAAAACATTATGATTTAACTTTTAATAAAATCTGCTTATGTTGCGTTTTGGTTCACAGCATGTTTCCTCATTAAGCAAGCAAATTATTTTTGTGGTACAAGCGTGATCTGTTACTGAGAAATATTATATTTCTCATTTAATCGTTATCCTCATCTTCACCGTCGTCAAATTCCATCACAAGTATGATGTGTCTTACTGTTTCGAGGCT